ACTCTTTCCTACTAAATGAGAAGCAAGGGAGTAACTTTTCAGAGTAACTTTTCAAATCTATTCATAAAAAACTGGTTTAATGATCATCTTGACCAAAAAAGCATAAAAATGTTAGGATGGTGCATCACTTGTACATATAAATTGCCCCCAAATTGCTGAAATTCTTTCATTAGTCGATACAAAATTTTAACAATAAGTATACCACAGTATTGTGTTTACAGTTCTATTTATATTTATGATCTTTTTGTAATGGTATTTCATAGGAAAATACACTTTTTTTTTTGGCAAAAGGCCACTAATACTGTTTAGATTATGTTAAAAGCCAAGATCTGAGGCCTAAGCTTCAAAACCTAATTTCATTTAGCTGATACACACGGATAGGACATTTAGCTTTCTCTAAATGAATGAATTTGCCTCACATGCAATCATTCACTTTTCTTAAATGACCTTTTCCAGCAGGATAACCTTATATTTTAAGGAATGAATTATTCATTTACTATATTCTTATTCAAAACAGCCTACTGAATTGAGAGAATTATGAAATCATTTTCTAATTTATGCAAGCACAAAGAAAATCATATGTTGAGGAAAATAATGTGCAGCAACTTAAAGCATTCACTTGGGAAGCTACTTTGCAAAAAGGAGAGGAATGGGCTATCTGAATCTGTAACATTTCAGCCTGTACTCATTTGCTCCTTATCAGAGATTTAGTAGTAACAAGCCAAATGCTTCAGATAGGCAGGCCATTAGGCACTTAACAACGTGTATTCAGTTGGGACAAAATATTTCAAACGCAGTGATAGAAAGATGCATCTTGCACGGGCTGCTTGAAATTACAAACAGACTCCCTGGGAACAGTATCCAGAATGGTATGTTTTATTAAAACATGCCCGAGGACCTTATTCCCAATGGCATGGTAGCTACGAATTTAGCCCCAAAAATAAAGTGGTAGCAAATGTGATTAACAGAGTATATCACCAACTTCCCACTTGGTAGCTATATGCAAGTAATTAGGAACACTCCTGAACTGAAATAAAAGCCACAGTCAAGAAGTACAGCAAAACTGACCCTCAAGGGTAACTTTTTTTTATGATAATTCAAAGCCACAAACTGCTCAGGCAAGACACATTTTAATGCCACTCATTAGCAGCCACCATTCAGGGAAGCAACCCAAAATACTGTCTCCCAATGGGAGACTCCACCCTTTGGCCACCAAGTCATCCTGACATAAGACCAGCAACTGCACTGTCCCAGGAGCCAGGTACCACCATACTTCTTGGATCTCAACACCCAGAGGCGATGAACAAGTCAACACATCCGTGTGTAAATTTAGCTAGCTAGTCTTCTGAGATACAAGTTCCCTGGGACTGCACGGTTGGACTGGTCCTGCCAGCTGGGATAAGGTCAGCAGCAGGCACAGAGGTGGAAAGGAGACCCAAAAGGGATTGCAGGATTGTTTCTCTGAGAACAAGAAGAGTCCACGATGAACATTAGGCTGTGTTACACTGTCCCACCTCACAGACCCTCTACCCTATGAGGGAGGGAGCAAGGAGAGGCCAGGAAGCATTCCTTTATGCTCAACATTTTTCCATAAATCAAAGAATACCCTGCTTGCACTTTGGGTAAAATAGCAACGAATGGCAAAAAGACATTTCTGCGGGTTACATGGAAGGAACTGTGATTAAAATGCTGTTGCTAGGCTTTATCAGTCTGACCCACCTACTGAAGGCAGCAGCAAAAGTAGATGTGCTACAGCAGGGCTTTGAGCCAAGGGCAGATACATCTGCAAAGTTGGGGTGGCAGGTGGAGAGATGCTGTTCAACCCAGAGATGGGCTGCTCACCCCCTGGCAAAGGTATGCACTAGGGAAAGGTGTAAACACCTCCATGGTCACCCGCCTGAGCACCTGGATAGCCATATCCCTGCAAACGCCACATATGCAGCCATTTTCTGAATGGGAAACTTAAGATTATTCTTCTACAAAACAAATAAACATTTTTTTTTCATCATCAGTTGCCAAAAATAAGTGCATGAGCTCAGGTTACTCCATATCAGAAGTAATTAATATATTATTACCATTATTAAACACTTTTCAGGATGGGGCATATTCCTGCTTAAAATATTTATCCTGCTCTTCAGACACAGGCAAATAAAAAAAGATGCTTGGACAGTCCTCACAAACTTAATAAAACAGAAGAAACAATAAAATTAAATTACTCTAAAGTAATAAAATATCTTAACATTCAGTATATGTGTCCATCCCCAAGGCCCTGCTGGTCTGCCATCCCAGGGCAGGGTCTGGCCCTGGTTCCCCGCACTGGGCCTGACCCGGATCCCCACCTCTCATCACCAGGGCCCAGCCACCACTGGCTTGACCCCAGACCTACCTCATCATCATGATACTGCCTTAAGATCAGGACTCTTGGTTGGACTTGGCCACCATCTATCGGTCTGTCCTTCTCCCTCATGTGGGTGTGTGGGGCTGAGCCCTGCTAGCTGTCAGATCCCCTCACCTCCCCCCTCACCTTTCCCTGGGGAGCAGCCCCACTTCTACTGCTCTCTGGAGCAAACGTTTCACACATAGTGCAGATATTCAATAATTCTTTGCTGGCAAAACTGACCTTTTCTTTGCATGAAAGTAAATGAAATAGGAGTATTGCATAAGGCATGATTTTATGAACTCCCTTTCCCTCCCCATAGCTCAAATGCATTTTTCACAGCATCTACTGTAAAGACTCAATTCCTTACCTCTGAAATCTCCAGACATACTAGTGATTTCATGAGTCTTTGCTTGGTAATGCAATAAGCAATGAGGGTCCCAGCCCCAATGATTACTCGGGCACATTTTTCCACTAGGTCTTGTTTAAAAGAGAAAAATCCTCCTATCTTCTCCCTTAAGCATTCAGTTCCTCATAGGGAAAAATGTCTAAATCAGATGTACTGTTTAGCTCACTGTGAGCGACTCCAATTTAGCCTTGGCAAACCATTTAAAATAGCTTTCAAGCAATCAGGGTGAGACACAAATGTAAAAGATGTCTCCTGGGTCTATTTTAATAGAAAGACCAGGACACTCTCCACTGAGCATGGATCCAGCTCTACAATACATAATTTTCAGCAACATATTTTTCGGCAGGAGGTATGCGTAGGGAAACAGACGCAGTAGCCTTACACATTCACTAGGTAACCTGTAGTACCTAACGTTGTCCTGCGTGGTGAATTGTTCCATTCCTGCAAAAAAAAAAAATAGTGTAGACTGAAAAAGGGATCTGTGGCATTAGGCAGTCCTGCCCACTCGGAGCTGGCTGCAAAGGCAGGGCTGCAGTTCCCTATGCTGAGGGGAACGTCCTGACAGCTACAAACACCTTTCCTTAAACGCCTGCACAGCTTGGTGCAAACGCAGGAATCTATCAAGGGGGATCAGGAAGAGGGTGCAAATTTTCTTCTCTGAACAGAAGTACTTTGACTTTTAGTTTGGTGCTGCAGAATTGTCCCCCGTCCTGTAGCAGCAACATCTGAAGGGCAGGTTTGCAGGCCCGCTTCTTTCAGAAAATAATAGTAATTGTAACTTCTGTAGAGAAGGGATGCAAAGAGGTGGGTGTGAATGGGAGATAAAAGAGTTTTGCATGTTGTTGGGCAGAAATGGAAATTAAAATAACCATTAGAAAAGTCAGTAACATGATGGATCTAGAGTTAAGTGGGAGTTTTGCTAGACTCAAGAGCAGCCCTGTAAAAGCGGAGCATTTCAGTTTCTCAGTTCAAGCAGAGAAGGTTCTAGAGCACTCCTGCATGGTTTTCTGTCACTAAGTGATTCCAGTAGGTCAACTGCTCAGCTGGTTCTACTTCATGGCACATCACAATTTTCTTAAAGCGAGAAACAGAGAACGTAATCCTTTCTGGGAAAAACGTCTGCTCTGAATGAAGCTCCTCCAGGTGAATTTTTAGTTTGGCAAGGCACAGTCCTATGAATACATCTTCCAGTTTAATGAACGAAATGCTCTCTGAAACATTATAGATCTGACTAGCAACATCAGTGGATAAAACATAGCCAGTCCCAGAACAAAACGGTGGGTAGGTCTTTCTCGGATACTCCTCTTTACTCACATACCACTTACTCCTTCTTCTTCGTATGGGGTACTCATGCAGTTTTAAAAAGCCTGTGAAGAATCTAGTGGTCTTCTTTTTCCTAAGAAGCAGCTCAGTGAGGTAAAAAACATTGACAAACACATCTGTGTCGGTTTTCATCACAAAGCTGGACTGGTTACAAAATCTGTGAACCCATTCAATTCCCATCATGGTCTTCAAAGTCAAATTGTAATATGTGTCTGTAAAATTCTTTTGAATAATGTCTTTGTACTTTTGGCTTTCAGCAGCAATATCAGCCTGCTGCCTCAGATTCACAGTGCTTCCCAGGAGGAAATATGTCACCAGGCGCTTGCCAGCGACTGTTCTCTCCTTCCCCCAGGTTTGCCGGATGGCCATCCTGGCATCAATGTGGTGGTACGAGGACGTCACAAGCAGAACAAGGAAAGGCGGGTTCTTCTGGCAGTCTACATCTGGGAGCTGCAAGAAGTTTCCTTCAATTCTCCTGAACGTCTCTATGGGGAATATGTAATCTTGGCTGTTTTCACAGAATATACAGAATTCAGTCAAATTATAAAAAAAACAGAGGCCAGCACAGCTGAGCCCTATAAGGCAAACAATCAGCCTGAATTTTCTGAAATACATCTGAAAGAAACAAGAAGGAACAGCACATTAAAAAAAAAAAACAACCCAAAACATAATACCTGGTTCCTTTCAGTGCTGTATACCAAACTCTCTGCATGGGGATTTGAAGCCAGGTCACATCTAATTGAAATCTTACCTATTTCAGGGCCAGAGATCAAATTCACACTCTTGCTTACTTGAATCTGCCCCCCAAGCCAGCATATCCTCGGAAATCCACACAAGTATGGCCATTGACACCAGGTTAGCCTGGCTGACACTTCAGACCTCCTCCCCATTTTCAGCATCTTACAAAACATGACTTAGATCCACCAGGGCTTTCACAAGTCAGAGGACAGAGAAGCAGCAGATACATGCCCATGCCAGATGGGCGAGAATAACAGCAATAATTGGGGTTTTTGTTAGAAAATACCATGTTTCTCCATGTGTTTGAAAAGTGCCTGTGTCCCAGAGCGAGCAAGTGCTGTCCAAGTGGCAGACCCAGCCAGGTTCCTCCCATCTTCATCTTCACATCCTGTGGTGCTCTTACACTGACCCAGAAACTCCTCCTGATCTTTTTGCTGGAGGGGCCATGAGTCACGTATTTGAAGTTGGGTCAGCTGCTCAGAAAAAAAACACAGCAGTGGGTCAGATTATTTGGATGTTTCACCTTTTGCAGAGTTTAGGTGACACATGTGGTGGTGCTAAGCTGAGAAGTGCTTGTCCATACTCACCTCTCCTTTCTAGACGAAAGATATTCAGACAGTAACAATGATGTTCATTCATTCATCCTTGTAACATATTAATGTGCTGTGTATCTGGTTACAAACCTAGTATAAATTTTGAGAGAGAGAAAAATTATCAAAGCAAATCCAAAAAGAGACAAAAAAGAAAATTACACATCTCCATGAATTAACCTAGTGAGAAAAGTATAATGCTTCAGTTACTCATTCCATTAACCCACAGGCCCACCAACTACTATTTTAGAGCTCTAGGGTGGGGGAATTTTACAAGAGGGAAGCATTCCCTTCTGCTTTCCCCCTTCTTTATGAAGAACTGGACCTGGCTTCCCACCTAAAAATAGAGAAAGCCAACTTTAAAATCCCTAGGTCTGTAGATTTCATGGAAAAACTCTGCCTTCTGACCAGTATTGTTCTGCCTAGACTCCCCAAAACCATGTTAGTGCCCTCTTTTTGCTCAAATTCCCCTTTCCAAGCAATGAAAAGGTTTTGGGTTGCAGGTTTAACCTGCGTTGCAGGTTCCTGGAACCAAATTCAGCTCATTTTACCGGTAAGAATAGCCCCATTAACTTCAGCTGGTGTTCTCAAATGCATTAAACAAGTAGAACTGGAGTCATGACCTACTGAAATTCCTCCCAATTAAATGCATTTTTGCAGAGATTAATGAATTTTGAAAATATTTCTGAAGTTCACATTTCTTCTTTAAATTAACCTTATCTTTAAATAGAGTATTCCTCAGATCTATTTTTTATTGAATGTATACCTCACAGTAGTCTTGTGATTAACTTTAAAATTGCTTTAATTAAATATATAAGTAAAGTTGTGTGATAATATACATATGCATACATATATATATATACATGCACACAAAAAAAAAGATTATACAAAATCTGCTGTGCATCTGTTCATCTTCAGTGGTCTGGGAGGAAGCACATGAATACCCTGAAAATAGTGTTTTCAGGAAAGGATGATGTTCTGAAGTTGACAACAGAGCTGCAGAAGAGGATCGCTCCTGCCGCCAGCTCTCACAAGACTGTTTGAGGGTCTGACTTTTCTCTGTCACATGAATTCCACCATCACAGGGTGCTGGTTTTGCCTGGGGTAGAGTTAATTCTCTTCATAGTAGCTGGTACTGGGCTGTGTTTTGGATTTGTGCTGGAAACAGCATTGATAATTCAGGGATGTTTTAGTTATTGCTGAGCAGTTGCTTACACAGAGCAAAGGCTTCTTCTTCACCCTACCAACAAGGGCTGGGGGTGCAGAAGGAGTTGGGAGGGGACACAGATGGGATAGCTGAGCCTGACTGACCCAGGTAGGGATATCCTATATCATATGGGGTCATGCTCAGCCTGTAAAGCTGGAGGAAAAAGAAGGAATGGAGGCACATTAAGAGTTTGCCTTCCCAAGTAACTGTTATGTGTAATAGAGCCCTGCTTTTCTGGAAATGGCTGAACACCTGCCTGACTGTGGGAAATGGTGAATGAATGGCTTGTTTTGCTTTGCCTGCATGTGTGTCTTTTGCTTTACCTATTAAATTGTCTTTATCTCAAACCACAAGTGTTCTCACTTCTACCCTCCAGATTCTCTCTCTCTTCTCTCGCTGAGGGGTGAGTGAGAGGCTGCATGAGGCTTAGTTGCAAGCTGGGTTAAACCAGGACATATGTACAAACAAAAGTCCTTCCAATACTTAGACTAAGAAAGTAACTGAGAGCAATTTTCTACTAAAACCCATTAAAACCTTTTCAGAAATACTCAAGAGCAAGAACCATTACATACTAATTTTACCATATTTCAGTAGAATCAGACCAATGTGACTTGATCATATTTATTTCTTGTTTCCAGGTTTGGGCACCAGTAACAGATCTAAGAAAAATTTAAAAGGTCCTTGTTCTGGACAGCTGGGAGAGCAGCTTCCCAACGTATGTTCTGGCATGTATTTACCATGCTGCCTACCCAGAGCCAGACTGTCTTCCTTTTTCAGTCCATGTATGAAGCATCAAACCTTATATAGGTATATAAACACACATGCACAATGCAAATGTTTGTAAATCTATGTAAATTGTAAAACACATTTTATAAATTTTTCAAATCACACGTATGTACATGCATCATTTCACAACAGTTCCCTGCCTACCACCAGTGGGTAGGCAGTGGCCTTGGTAAGAAATGCGCACCTCCCAGAGCGAAGTCTCATGTGGTTCTGACTGTGTGAAAGCTGAAAAATGCTAGTTTATGGTATCCGTTTAATCACCAGAGGCAAATTTGGGTTTATCTGGAACTGGTAGGAATGGTGTTCTTTTTTTCTTAGATGAAACATTCGCAATTACCCACAGGACCTTAAGATCATCTAGTTCCAACCCCACTGCCATGAGCAGGGACACCACACACTAAACTGTCACCCAAGGCTCTGTCCAGCCTGGCCTTGAACACCGCCAGGGATGGACCATTCACAACTTCCTTGAGCAACCTGTTCCAGTGCCTCACTACCCCCACAGCAAAGGGCTCTGCCTTTGATCTAAACTAAACTTCCTCTGTTGAAGTTTAAACCCATTACCCCCTGTCCTATCACTGCAGTCCCCGATGAAGAGCACCAGTTCCTCAAGGTCCCATCTCCAGGCAATCTCAGAAAACGGGTGTTCACATGGATGAACACAGGTGTCTCTCCTAATGGGTCTGCCTTTAATGTCTCCCCCTTGGAGCTCATGAAATGAAGAGTTGCTTCAGATGTTCCTGAGGCCAGCAGGGGCCTGTGGTGTGACTGGGGTGGGTCTGTTGCACAGGTACAGCCCTGGTGTCCCAGGGACCCAAGCTTAGCAATATATTACAAGGTCGGCATTTACTGAAAGAACACAAGGGGAAAGGTGACAGAGAGACAACCAGCTTCCTCTCAGTTAATTTTTTTCTTAAAATCATCAATTTAATTCTTGATTTCCAGCCTCCATGCCCATATCTTCATGGAACAATCCTGGAGACATTAATATGAAGGGAACAGTAAGTCTACAAGAAGTGGTCCAGAAAGCAATGGAGACTTACTAGCAATCAATCTCTTTTCTAGAGGTCATTTTGGACAGCATCCAGGGGTTTTGCATCAAAACAAATCTTTCTGGTTTTCTAGAGAATCCTTTTGCATGATGTTATATTTGATCTATCTTCTGTCTTACATATGATTCTATCTTTCTCTCTGACGTGAGTCAGAAACTAGTTTTTATTATCTCAAAACTTTTTCCATCTTCTATTATTCCAACTGCAAAGTATTTCATGTAGAGTGTTGCCAAAAACTTACCTTGTGTGATAGAAAGCAGTTTGTTTAAACTGACTGGTACGGTGTTTCACGGCTCTGTGCAGTTCCAAAAGGGGTTTGCATGAAATCCTGTGGGCTACAGGTGCCAGCAGCCCAGTGCTCCTCTTTCATATGCCTGAAATGAACACATGAAGAAAACAAGAAGGGAGTTGAAGTCTGTGGTTCAAATCAGTCGCAGTGCAGCACTCTACTTTGCAAGTTCCTGTTTCCACCAGTGTCATGAACTTCCCCCCACATCCTGTCACAGTAAGCAGATTGGCTCCAGGGTCTCTCTGTTCATGCCACTGACCCTTGCTGCACAGTGACAGGGCCATAGTAACTCCTGTGATGAAGCCTATTTATTCCATCAAAACTAATCTGACACCTTCTTAAATTCTGTTAATGAGTATAATTATCTAAAAGGCACCCAGAGATCAAGACTATATGCCATATAGATCAGGAAAAGCAATCTGGCCTGAGGTAGAGAGAGGTAAGTAGGTCTAGAGTTCCCCTGAGAAATAGATTCAAGATATCAATTTAAAGAAATAAAGTTTTCTTAATTTTTCTGGGGCAAAGATACAGTCACACCACTGAGTTCTGTGGACAATCGCCACTGGCTTTGCATTGAGGTCGCATCAGCCAGGAAACAACATGAACCACAAGTGCCCAAAGTGCTTTTGACCATCCTGCTCTGTAAACAGAGACAAAGTAGCTGCCACATGGCAGACTCAAAAGCAGAGGCACCATTTAAGCATGTAAACAGGAGTTACAACCTCAAATACTGCACAGCTAAAGGTGGCAGCGGTATTGCCATTTTCCTTGTGCAATAAACAAAAGTAACATGTGCCCTAGTGTAAGTACTAGTAATACCTGCTAACTTTGGATTTCCTCAGAATAAAGCCTCTAGATCGCTTTCTCAGAAGC